GCCAGTGCAGTAGAACAGGCTAATAATTCGGATGACGAATGCAGCTAAAAACTTCGATCAATGACAAGTGCCAGAGCTGCCCATTCATCAAGTCCTACGCACAGTTATGATATTGGGATAGCAGCGTCCAGTCAGTCTGGCCAGAGTCCCTTATAATGACGAGTCGGGCGGGAGTTTAACCCAATTAGATTAAGACTCCCGATAATCTTGTGAAGGGGCTGAGTGTTCATTTTGCCAGAAATATAACCGAATTTGGAAGCCAGAAAGAGATTACAGGATCACCCAGAATACTGCCCCATGTTGGGAGACGTTGACACGCTTCCATGGCGCTGCTGGGTCATGGACTCAGCTGATGTGATGCTTGATAGGAAAACATGAATTAACACTCAAAGAACTTCTGGCGATAATTGTCAAAAAAGCCCGAATAACATTTCCATGCTAGTTGGTGTTATCAAAGTTGGTGTTATCAAAGTTATCATTTTATGCCATTGGTTCTTTTTCTATTCGATATTTCGTGTTCGGGTTCTAAATGAAGGTGAATGCTTCAAAGTTACAGGGGGCACGGGTGGTCCAGTCATCTTAGGGGCCGCAATTCGCTGTGCAGAGTTGAGTCCCTTGGGCACGCCAGGAATCTGTGATTGTGGGTTCGAATCCCGGTTCGCCCCGATTATGTTTCTAGGTTTGTCAGCTCGTGTTGGCTGGTTTCGCCGAACTGGTAAACGTCTGAGACCTGCATCACTGCGGGCTTTCCTCCCACATTAAGCTGTCAGGCCGTGGTGTAACTGGAATACTGTTAAAAGCGGTGTTAAACCCAACTCACTCACTCACTCAAAGTTACAGAAGACATATTTGAGTTATCTCCATTTCACCCTGACTCTATTGGGACGCTTTCACAACCAAGATTATCCAGAGCATTATATTTCAACTTTGTTATGGTAAACTACGGTTATAACGAACTAACAGGGGTCACACATTTTAGTTCGTTATAACCGTAGTTCATTATACGCATATACACATAATATATACAGTAAATGGCCGGGACCAAAAATACAACAGTTCCTTATATCGCCTGTTCGTTACAAGCGTGTTCGTTATAAACGTAGTTTACTATATATACTAAAAACCCATTCGATACCGAAGCTTCGTTTTCAACCCGATTCGAATGACACAAGGCTGAACATAGTCTTCAAATCAAATTAAACTGATTTGTTTGTTGTTGGAAGCGACAAATATCGAGCGGGTGATTAGGCTCAGCTGTTTGAATCTGAGGCATATTATTGTGATTTGAAACCCCCTGATTGACCAATCAGGACAGACTATTTAATTACTAAGCACTGTAACTATTTTAAAAATCATGATGATCTTACCCTCTGTCACTGATTTTCACTGATCCATTTCACATAATTTTCACCGATATTTTAACTTTTAAGCTCAATAAAATCTGTTTCATCGGATAATCAAGACACTTTTTCTCTAGCGTTGTCGTTTTACATACACAATAAATAATAAAAGTGTCAAGACTGAAGCACATTACAGTTGTGATCATACATAATAGGACATGTCGTTGGCATCCGGCATTACACTTTATACTCCGTTTATGTATCAGTGGTTTCCATAGGCTAATGAAACCTAAAATACCTATAAATTAAATTAAAACACATCTATACTAAATAGTCATTGTGGTCACCTGGTTCCCGATTTAGCAACGAATGTACGTCAAATCCAACAGAAATCGACATTCTGAACAGCAAACACGTGTTTCTGTACGTCAATGTGCAAAATGGAAATGTCTCCGACAGCATGATAAAATGGTTGTCACATAATACTGAAACGTTATGGAAAACATAATGGGCTTGCTTGATTACGTCGTCTCCTTATCAAAATCCAAAACCGCCATGACACTCAAGTAAAAGACCATAAACAGCGAAGGAATGCGAACATCATAGTATAACACAAATCCAATTACAATAATTTAGCCCCCCTCACTAAATATTCTCAAATGATATGCAAAACCATATTAGCCTGGCAGTTCATATCACTGTTCGTGATAATTTACGGTTGTCGTTAATAACGGTTTCCGGCAAATATGCAAATGAGCCTCTCCATCAAGTTCTGTCGGTGACATCAATGTCTCTAGACAAAGAAAAAGGACACCATTTTCATCAGTAATAAGAGTGCCCCCCTCCTTGTAATACCTCTCTGGCCAGCCTGGCGCTGATCTCATGAGGTCAAGTGACCTCTGGCCAGAACTGGACGCTGCAGTGTTGTTTCAGATGGGACCACCAGATAATTGTGTTACGTCTAAGTTCCTGTCAATCTCTGGTCAGAGCCTTATGAGCGATAAAACATGCGCCACAACACACCCGCTGTCGCACTGAAACAATTTGAAGCATTTGGCACTGATCTAAGAGATGCACAGGCATCAACTACTGCCCCATGGCAACCATTAAAGGGATACTATTTGAGTCTGGCTTCTTTTCTTGTAATGCTGGCAGATCAATGTTAGGGCTGTTTTTATTGATTGTAAAAAAAATCCGCTAACATCTCCCTTACAAGCAGTTATACATGATGCGCTAGAAAACAAGTGAGAAGTTTCAAAGTACAGGCAACAATGGGGTGCTTTGAAAGTAGGTTCGTGATATTTAGCAGTCTACCGGAAATTGTATACAGCTATTTTAGTGATAGTAACTATGCCCGGACCTGAAAACCTTGTATTCAGTCTTTTAAAAGTTAAACAGAAATACGAAGCGATAGGCGCAGCTGGAGAGTGATTTCACGACTTTCGCAAAGAGGGTGAAATTACTTTATTTCGATACAGAGACGGACATAGCTGTTGTCGGACAGTTACTTTCCTTCGACATATATGCATTAGATGAACACAGTTGTAGTCTTGACAATGACTTTTAGCAGGTTTTCTTTTCTGCTTTTAGTAGACTGTGGAAAGAGTTTTATCACTGTATTTATTCGATATAGCCATTGGACGGACACGATTGTGGTCTTGACATGGCTTCTAGCTGCTTTTCTTTTCTGCTTTTAGTAGACTATGGAAAAAGTTTTATCACTTTATTTATTCGGTCTTGGCGTTTTTTGGCTTTTCTTTTCAACTTCTTCTTTTCTGCTTTTAGCAGAGATGTCTTATGACTGTGAAAATGGTTTTGTCGCTTTATTTATTGACATTGGTATTGGATGGACGCTGTAGTCTTGACTGACACACGCCACACCCGGAAAGCCAGTTAACCCGGAGGTAAGCAGATCGAAGAACGCGTTGTGCAAGATAGGCTTGACAAAACTAACTGAAGCTGCATTCAAATTGCATACGTTGATGTTGATTATCACAGCAAAATCTATAATGCTGGCGCCTTGGTCTTAAAATGAGTGAGTACGTTGCTTTTAGCAATATTCAGAAATATCACGTCGGGGGACACCAGAAATGGGCTTCACACATTGTACCCATGTGGGGAATCGAACCCGGGCCTTTAGCATGATGAGCGAACGCTTTAACCAAAAGACTCCCCAACAGCCCCCTAACTCTCACAGCATTACCTACACAATAACGGACTACATATTCCACGTATACTACTCAATAGTAGTTAAAGAACATCCGATTCATTCATATTACCATAGTTAATCTGTCACGACATGACAGATTAACTATAGCAACATGAAAGCATCACGCGTTCTTTTCAGTACTACACGTTAGCTGTGCAACGCATGTAGAAGTAGAATATATTGTAAAGTTTTCATAAAATGTCGAGAATAGTTTCAGGTTCATATAGTGTTCTTAGCCGTTTACACTGTAAACTTCTCATTGTAACATGAAGTTTAAGGGATATTAAAGTTTGTGCTTTGCGTCTAAATGCATGTATGTCAGATGTATATTTCGATAAACGCTTTTTGTTTTTAGGAATAAACCTTTCAGAAAATGAACGTATATCTACAGTGAATCCAACCTGACATATACATGTTTTTCCAGCTGGTCTTTAATTGATTTGTTTGGCATGAGAATTCGCTTTTTCTACAAAGTGTTTGTAATTACCTCCTTACCGTTTGTTTCCATAGGAACAAACCACTTAGCAAACTTGCATTCTCTGCACGCCAAGAGTTAAACAGAGAGAGAAAGAGAACGAGTGTGCGTAGTTGCACACACGGGGAATATGACAACGAAGGGAGTCGCTGTGTCATAATTGGTGCGTCCACATTTTCCCCCGTGGTCTTCAGCATCCCGTGGTTGTTGTTGGCGACTAACGGGATCGGGTGGTCAGGCTCGTTGGTATCCCGATTGCATAGACCGATGCTCATGTCGACCGCTGAGGCTGTTTAGTCCAGACTCCGACTATTTACAGCTGACCGCCGTTACAACAACAACAACAACCAAACACACTTGTACTTTAACATCGTGGTTTTGTCCCTTTGATTTGAGGTGCGATGCACTGGTTTTGTGTTGTTGATCACGTGTCTGCCAAATTAGATAATGTCCACTCCCAACTATCTGATGAAGTCAAAAGATGAGGAAAGCTTTTGCATTTCCCAAACCAAACGGGTCTAATCTCTTGCGACCAGGCAGAATGAGCAGAAACAATACAAGGCACTGAATACATCGTTTGGATATGAAGATAAGAATCAAAGATCATCATAATGGGTGACCTTGACCTTAAGTCATGACGGCCGCTCCAGGAAAGGCATATGTTCACCCGTTTCGCGAACATCGGTGTCGCATTTTTCTTAACCTTTTTCCTCCTTTTCTCTTCTTGCGACAGAAAAACGAATAAAACGTTATGACCCCATAATCCAGGTTAGAATAGATCTTCAGCAACCCAACTGCTGATAGCTGGAATATTGCCGAGTGCGGCGTTAACAACAAAGAAACAAGCAAAACTTGTATAACGGATGCATAAGTTTCTTCTCCAGCAATAAATTATTTCAAATATTCTTTGCGTTGAACATGTTATCTGGAGATATCATAAACAATGCCAATGAGTGAGATTTTTTAATGGTTTTACCTGCAGTGCACAATAACTGTTCCATTGTCAAGGCTGTCGTACGCCCGGATCTTCTGGCGGAACAACAACAATGAATTGCCGAACTTTGGTACTCCGTGGTCTGGCCACGTGGTATAGTGGAACTGTTTAACGTATTTGGACTGGCTCTCCTGAAAAACAAATATTTCATATTTAGTCAACAGTCATTAGAACAGCCGGACATCAATTTCGCACATCACTGAATTAAAAGTGAGTGAGTGAGTATGGTTTTACGCCGCTTTTAGCAATATTCTAGCAATATCACAGCAGGGGACACCAGCAATGGGCTTCACACACTGTACCAACTGAATTATAACGACGAACCTAGTTCACATAATCTTATGCCTCACATGAGAACAAGTGAGCAAGTCATAGATTAAACAACATTGTGCTTTGTTTAACGCCATTAATTGTCTTCAAGGTATACCAGCTCAATTTGTGAGGAAAGCCAAAACGTATGAAGTTCATAGACGTTTACGACATTCAGAAATGCTAATGGGTGTGTGGAAGCAACAGATAAAGGATTTTTTTCAGCAGATCCTAAGGGAAGCACTCTCCATAGCGAGATACAGCGCATACAACATTAGGCCAGTCAGAGTTACACTAAATAGTCCTTTCTCTAAGATCGCTTTGTGGAACATGGCTCTAGGCTTTCTATCCACAAATCCTCTCCCCTGTTTAATTATCCATGTATGATTTCGCATGATGACTCCGTGAGTCAAGCCTTTTCATGGCGAGCTTATGACAATAATACCAGACTGTAGGTCAGAACGTAACTTCTAACACAATGATTACTCCCTTGTTTACGAATGCATGCCGGGAGATACCTCGGGCGACACTTCCGCTTTAGCGTGTACCCACGCAGCACAATGATGATTAAACAACCAGCATCTGGGCTATTACCACCCTCACCGTTGTTATTATTGGCCCGCGATACCACAAAGAGAAAATCAAACTCTACATCCAAGGATGAAGACCAAATTAACTTTTCATAACGTAATGAAACTTTTTTGTGACTTAATTCTAAACACAAATAATGTGCATGTCGTTCAACTTAATTACAAAACCCATTCTGATTTCAAAAGTATTTGTTATGCGTGTGGAGTTTCAGAAATGACAAAACAATGAAACATTCGGGGTTCAACAAGCACGTCTTTGCTCCCGCTCTTCCCAGCATCATATCCGTTATATTTGACTTGAAATGGTTCAAATGTTAGGTTATGCAGCATAATGACATGGAATAATAGAAGTATTGTCTGACCTTAAACAATTTAATACAGTGAGTCACACTAAATTTTATTCTATGTTAAATCTGGACGCTCTCTTGACCCATTCTATTTGCTTGCACAGTCAAGTCCTTAATGCATATAATTACACTCTGAAACACCAGGCACATTCATCCCCATTTATCATTCGCTGCATATGATTTGAGGTTAAAATTGAGTATGAAGAAACGGTATAAAATTTCACCTAAATTATACAGTTATAAAATTATTTTAAGAGGTAATTGATGAAGTTAGTCATACGCATTTAGCATGGTATTTTGGGGGGCATGGTATTCCGTCTCACAAGGGCATGAATGAAAGGCTAAATGGTTATGGATGGCACGGGTGGCCCAGTTGTCTTAGGCGTCGCAATTCGCTGTACAGAGTTGCGTCCCTTGAACACGCCAGGAACCGAATATGTTTCTAGGCTTGTCAGCGCATTACCCACAGCGGTAAACGTCTGAGACTTGCATCGCTAAGCTTAAACGCCGTGATATAACTAGAATATTGTTCAAAGTAGCGTCAAAACAAACTCACTGACTCAGAAGTGATAATCAACTTCAGAGGTTTTAACACATTTATGATTTTTTGTCCATTTACTCAAGGGGCTGTTTTATACACGTGTGAGTATCGTATAAATGAACTGTCACAACACAAGACACCATATAACAATATATCATAGTCGCATCTCTGGGGACTTCCCTATAATACTTTACGCCAACACAATGTAACGTGTCTACATCCCTGTCGGAAAGAAACAACAGTAATTCCACAAGGACTGATTCCGTTACCAAAAAAGTGATGACTCGTAGTTGCTTATTAGATTTACTCTGAAATAAATTCTCATGTGAAAATGTACCCAATAGCTGAATTATTAAACTTCATATTCGTTCTTTTTGAGTACTGTCGGTTAATGAACACACGATCAAATACGCATTCCCTACAAAACTAGTGCAAGGTCATTGTGACTTGTTGATTAAACGAAAAAATACAAGATTGCTTCACGAGAGACGGTTCACGCCGCGTATCAACACGCCGATGTTCAAGTCGTTTTGTATCCCAATAAAAAACATACATATGTTGATGCCCGAGTGAGTTTCAAAGACCAATCATCGCGAAATTGTCAAATCGCGAAAAGACAAAAGAAAACTCTCATATACTTTTCTTTAGGTGTACAAAAGTTCTGTAATTTATATTTCATGTCTTCAAGTAGCAAAACAAAACTGTATGCTTTCATTGTTATACGTTATGAGAATACCAGCAGGAACTTAAAATGATTAAAGTACCAATGCTTACCTTAGACAGTAAGAACGTCCTGACAATGAAGTCAGGCAGTATATCGGTGCCGAGTAGCTGTACCGATATATTGCCATATTGCTCGCACCCATCGTCAGGCCAATACTGCTCACACTTTTTCTGAAAATAAAATACGAATACCAAACAATGAAGAAAATTTATGCATCACAGTTAAGGACCATTATTTTCTATTTCGACTTTACACATATACAGCGATAATGATGCAGAGATGAAGCTGTTTGGCACTCCAGAACATGTTAAAATGTACTACCGTGATTATTAGCATTAATATCATCACCATCATTATTACCATCATCATCATCATCAACATCATCTTACCTTCCCTGTCTCTGTAGCGTTGGTCAGCATGATGAGTGTTTTTGAATTTTCCTGCCACACCATCCGCCATATATCATTAATAGTTGGTTTTATTGGTCCTGTGGAGAAGAGTGAGTGAGTTAGTGAGGTAATGTTGTTTAACGCCGCAGTCGGCAATATGACATCATATCACGTGTGTGAGTGAGCGAAAGCTGCTTTACACGACAGTCTGCAATGTTACGGCTACATCACGTGAGGAGATTGAAACACTGCTGTTTTACGTCAGTCAGCAATATTACGGCTATATCACGCTGGCCTGTCAATTCGCGATACTAGACCAGGAAACTAGTGACTGAAAGTAGGAGCACCGATCTCCGCCACTGGCCACTTACACAATCAGCCATGACACAGCGCCTCAATTTCAATCGCCTCAAAGGAGAGCATGAGGTACAGGGTACCTGATTCCTAACATTATACCAGATAAATACCAACTATTCATAACCGTCCTGAAAACTCAAGTTCACAAGGCATGTTTTTTTAACAATTGACTTGCCTTTGCATGTTTTTGTGATTGGTGCCATTGGTGAAACTGGATACGCTCACCTTTCCGCGAACACTTGCCATCATCACTATTTGATAATGATTCATAAACATATGCTTATGACGTGGTCCTAATCGTGCAATTAACTCTGCTTACAGCAGAGATTTCTCTTCATCATAGTGAGTGAGTGAGTTTGATTTTACGCCGCTTTTAGCAATATTCCACCAATATCACGGCGGGGGACACCAGAAATGGGCTTCATACATTGTACCCATGTCGGCAATCGAACCCGGGTCTTTGACGTCACGAGCGAACGCTTTAACCACTAGGCTACCCGACCGCCCCCTTTTGATCATAGAAAAAAGAAGTTCACCTCTATTTTAATGTTTCGTTGTATATAACTTAGTCAGTAAAATCCATTTCTCAGAGAAATGAAATCCGTTTTGAGATGTGAAGAAAATATCAACCCACCTTGGGCTGCTATATAAGCTCTGGGTTTATGATACCCCTGAAAGACAAAACAAAATATATCACAAAGGTTATTTGGTAAAGCAACCGAGGGCATTTCACATCATTGTATTTCGACCTTTGATAATACCTTTGGTATTAATAATCACCGTATTAATAAAAAACCCAGTTTAGTTACATCTTTTAAGCTTAATATAACCTTCTACCGAGACATATAAAGTGAAACTCCCTCAATGGGGACGGTGCTATTCCATGTGGAATCTTCCAGATTAACATTAAAGGTTGTGCTTTGTACCCAATCGGAAAGGAATTTTTTTGCAGTGAGGTTTGTTCGAAATTCCTTTTAACAGTCTGTTTAAAGTAATATCATAGCAGTCAGCTTTTGAAAGTCCAAGCTTACAGGTCGCAGAGCTCTGCTATTTTAATGGCACTACAATATACCTACAGTGCCAACAAATCTAGGATCTTGAATGGGAAGGTCCTTAAATTCGAACCCACGCTTATTAGATCCTGGTAGTTAAGGGACATAACTCTGAAGGAACTCTTGTGGCGCCCTCAATCACATGTGCCCTTACAGTATAATAAAACTGAAAATATACTGCTCAAAAGAAGTAACAGAGCGCTCGATTCTTTCATATCTCTATACTTCATACGTCATGGCACGACAAATTAACTATAACAATATGAAAGAATCGGGTGTTCTTTGAGTAGGAAATGAAGCATGCGATCTATGTCCATAGATACTCACATCTATATAATTGGCATTGATATAGTCATCTGTTGGGTCGTCTCCTTCCAACTCCAAAACAACTCGAGAGTGATCATCTGGAAATAAGAGCTGAAGCTAAACGTGTGACCCTACAACGCTCCTTCCCTACTCCAAAACAACTCGAGAATGATCATCTGGAAATAAGAGCTGAAGCTAAACGTATGATCCTACAACGTCTGCTGACTCCATGTTTTTATAATTTATAGAGTCGAGACATATTTAGCTGACACAGCCGTCAAAGAAAATAATTTGGGTGGTCAAGCTGGTCCAACACCAGATTTCACGACCATGATTTACGATCAAAAGGGTGCTTGATGACACAAATGGTCCCTCTGGAACTGTACAAATCATTTTGTTTCCACCATGCTGACACACGACCCCCCTCTCCGTGTCACTAATAATTAGGCTGTAAGATCAACTCTCCATAAATCTAAAACCAATTCAAATCAAATCACCATGTTGCAACATCCGGGCAACATAACACCTCCCAGCCATACCAATCAGTGGTGTGGACTGTCTAAAACACACGTTACAATAAACGCTATTGACTTCCTGGTTCTTAAGTATTTTTAGCAATCGAAATGAAATGATCGTGTACTAATCTTAAGAAAATTAGCCTCATTTTCCAAATATGGGCTATCTGCAGACTCATTGTCTGTACCATAATAGCTGATTCCAATATGTGGGTTGTTGTACGAGGCAAGGCGTAGCAAATCCGATACAACAGAAAATCACGGCAATAACGATTTCAACTATACTTGTGTAGGTCTGCTTGTTTGTTGTTTAACGACTCGTCAGTATTCCAGCCGTATGACGTCGGCCTGTAAATAATCGAGTCTGGACCAGACAATCAAGAGATGGGCATCATGAGCATTGATCTACGCAATTGGGACCACAATGGTGGTAACAGCCCGATCCCGCTAGTCGCCTCTTACCACAAGCATAGGTTACTGGGTAGCTATTGTAACCTGGATCATGATGGTGGATTGCGTAATGTGAGTGGTGGTGAGTTGGGTTTAACACCGTTATTAACAGTGTTCCAGTTATATCACGGCGTGTCAGCTTAGTATGGGAGGAAAGACCAAAGTGATGCAGGTCACAGACGTTTACCACCTTAGTGAAGCCAACGAGCATGGGTAAAGTGCTGACAAACCTAGAAACATAATCCGGGATACGAACCCTCGATCATATCCGGCGTGCCCAAGGGACGCAACTCTACACAGCAAATTGTGACGCCTTAGGCGAATTGAAACTGTGCTTCTTTAAAGGGGATTAGAAAGAACAAGCATTTCACCATTAACAAGTTTAAAGAACACAAAGACAGCTAGACGTAGTTGCATATGTTGAAATGTCAATTTAAAGATTTACAGAAAACCTATTGCCAACACCAGTCAGATCAAACAACATCTAACATTACGTTACACAGGACCTGAGTCACCTTCTCTACAACACATGCTAGATGATAGAGTCGGAATCATACAATCGACTCTTCTTTCAGCAGAGATGATTATGAATACAGAAAGGTTATGTTGCTTTGATCCAGTATAAAGTTTATACAAATCTCAAACACTATCAAAACTGATCGGCTTCTTTCCCCTTCAAGAGTCAAGTTGATGCATACACATGATATGCTACACTCCATATGATCTACATGTTGCTGAATAATTACATTGTTGTTAATGTCAACCTATAACGAGTAAACAAGTCTCACATTCAATATACAAGTCTTACATTCAACATTCAAGTTTCTCATTCAACATTCACGTCTTACAATCAACATTCACGTCTCACATTCAACATTCAAATCTCACATTCAACATTCACGTCCCACATTCAACATTCAAGTTTCACATTCAACACTTATGTCTCACATTCAACATTCACGTCTCACATTCAACATTCAAGTTTCACATTCAACATTTACGTCCCACATTCAACATTCACGTCCCACATTCAACATTCAAGTCTTCCAATCAACATTCACGTCTCACATTCAAGTCTCACATTCAACATTCACGTCCCACATTCAACATTCAAGTCTCACATTCAACATTCACGTCTCACATTCAACATTCAAGTTTCACATTCAACACTTATGTCCCACATTCAACATTCACGTCCCACATTCAACACTTATGTCTCACATTCAACATTCACGTCTCACATTCAACATTCAAGTCTCACATTCAACATTTACGTCCCACATTCAACCTTCAAGTTTTAACATTCAACATTCACGTCCCACATTCAACACTCATGTCACACATTCAACATTCACGTCTCACATTTAGCATCCACGTCCCACATTCAACATTCACGTCTCACATTCAACATTCACGTCTCACATTCAACATTCACAGCAGAGGAACAATGACACAGAACTTACATGCTATAATGTTTCCATATCTATTTTTGGCCTTATTTTCCGTTCTTTTCGCAATCTCGCAGCCAGCAGTCAGCCCTGGGGGTATAAGCTGTAGGGAAAATCACAAATAAGATTGTTATTTCAATTCCGAGATAAAAATAAGGTAGTTTCCATTTTAAAATATATTGTAAGCTAAAACACTTCAGTTATGTGTATGTAATGGTGTTTGTTGTTTAATGCAGCACTCAGAAAATATTTCAGCTACATGACGGCGGTCTGAAAATAATCGTGTCTGGATCTCATGAACAAGTGGTTGATATTGTGAGCATGGCCCACGCCGTCAAGCTGTAATGACAAGCATACCTCATCCATTAGGTCGCCACTTACGACAATCATAGACTGCTAGGGTACCTGAATCAGAACTCCCCCTTGTTCAATGATATTACAGCTGTTTCAGTGTTCGGTTTGTACATCGGTTTGACAAGTCTTAAAGAGCGTCACGACCAATAATATACAGCTTCAGAATTGGTTCATTAAACTTCTAGTCCTTGAAAAATAATTCCGAAGCTTCAGAAATGGGTTTCAAAAACGCTACTAATTGAGGAATTGAACACGAAGCTTCATAATGGGTTTCACAAATTCTACTCGTTGTGAAACCGAACATGAAGCTTTACCAACGAATCACCACAAACACATGCTTATGACATCGACGGAATCGTACAATGGACTTCCAGCAGATATTTATTTTCGATAACTGAATGGGCATTGTAGCTTTTAAGTCATATTCTACTGAATCAGAATCGTATAATGGACTTACAGTAGATATTTATTCTCGATAACTGAACCGGTACTGTCGCTTTTTTTCCATATTCATCTCAGTAGGGAATAGATCCCGCGGATCCATAGGACATCGAACGAGAAACATTTCTTTAAATTGTATGGAATATTTCTTGTTTGGGTCCTTATAGATATTATAAATCTAAAATATGACAGCGGCATTACATTGTCATTTTTATTGTGAAAGCGATCTTTATCGTCGAGGCCATAAAAAACCCATTATCATTATGATTATATATATTTTCTGATGTTAGATATATAGGGTCGGCGGATCTGTAAGTCAAGCAACATAATCCTTGCGGTCAGTCGTAAGAACGTGCCATAAATCTTGTCTTTTGTACTTTTCCGTAACATTCGTTGGCATGTCAAGGTAGTGTTACCTTATACTCTCTTTTCAAGCCATCATAATCGTTTTCCTTGCTTGCACGGATGTAGTCCCATAAATCCTCCACCTTGATTGGTGGAATCGTGATATTTCCGACATTTCCATATATGGGCTCAGACTCGAGATCGTTATCTATAGATGGAAGAATGAGAGGTTCTGCCTCAATGTTAATTGTACCTGAAATTAAACAAAATAAAATTATTCCAAAGAAACAGAACTGCGTTATCACAACGACATGAATAGCCAGGAAACATGAGAAACAGACAAAAAATATGTTTTAAAAAACACATTCATTTTTTTACATATTTTATTCACTTATGAATAGAAACATAATAACACGTTAATGAGTGGTTTGTCAAAATGTGAACGGAATAAACACAATTGATCGGTTAGATAAGAAGACCGAAGAATATATGCTTTATCGCGAGAAGGTAGATACAGAAGGTGCTTCAAGTGATGCTTAAGGAAAACGCAGGAACACACTAACAGAATAGAAATTGAAAACAAGGCCATACATAAAGGTATAATAGACATAGGTAGATGTGTAGAACAAAATAGTGCTAGAATGGTGCGAGGATGACAAAAGTATGACGTCAATCATGACGTCACAGAAATAAGTGTACGAAGCTGCTTCAGCTAACTACTGTAACAAGTGAAATAGAAATGACACAAGTGCAGTGTTCTGAAAAAAGATAATATCTTTCAATAGTTGAGAAGAAACGAGACCACCTCATGTGATGTAGACAGTCTGATGGGTTTACCACCTTGACAAACACCCAAACAACCAGCGGATCCAGACACAGTGAAGGGTTGCAACTCTGCACAGCGCCCCATACCGTTGAGTCTTCCCCACAGTACCAATAACGTTTCTTTAACTTTTGGATAGAAGTCCAAAATATTCAGCCCTAGGATAATAAAGAACTGAGCAAAATCCCCGAATTCGAAACCAGATAGGACTTAACGCAACGCTCCAGAGCGCACAACACTTCAGAGCACACAACACATAAAACCACACCGACACTTACCTAGACATAAACATGCGTCGGTGTCTCGGGAGGCGGAAGTCAATGAAAAATGTGCTTTAATTTTCAGTAGAAACAGGAGTACGGGCACACCACGCGACAGATCACAACATCATATTAACAAATTCAGAGTTAAAATAGTGTTAAACGTGTATCCGAGGATAAAGGGAATATATGATAAATATGCACAGCAACCCATTGTACGACGAAGACTGTCTCATCTGAAGAAAGACTTGTGCACTGGTCACAAAAGCAACATGAAGCCACAGTGTGCCAAAAAGTGTTAAAGAGGAATCACTAAAAGCTTGTGATGAGCAGCATGGAGAAAATCGTTGTTTAAAAACTAACTTGAAAAAATGTTAATGGCTTCCCTACACAGGTAGCACCACAGAGTTCACTAAGGAATACATTATCACTGATATTAGATGAGAGAGAGGAACGAAAATATGAAGGTAAGATGACAACGATTATTGTTTCATAACATATTACTAACTCCAATCGTAACTTGATATGTGCACAAAAACATGAAATATAAAGACCTTATTTCACTCAATTATAAAAATGCAATTAAATCGGAATATTTTAAAAGAAAAGTTACTTAACACATACGTAAATATTATCATTGTTGATGTCTTTATCTATATTTGAGTACATCACCAGCACAAAGTCTGATTCTGTCAACAACCAATTGTTTTATTGCCTTATTAAAACTATGTGCCTTATTGTATGATTAATGCTTTATTAATGTGGAAAATGGACATGCACAAATATTGAAAACGAAGGTTTAATTGTTTGCGTAAACAAAATTGCATACTTGTGCAACTGAAGGTTAGCGCCACGAGGGTAGCACCAGAACATGAGGATATCTTGAAAAGAACAACTCACCCAAACTAAACTTAGTGTAGAAACCTCCTAGACGCATGAAAATAACAAGAATCGTTACAAGATGGCGCTGGATGTTAATAAACGCTATACTGGTTATGTGTTAATGGTATTGGTTGATGATATTTTATTATACCGTGTTAGAGTTGTTAGTTACTATAGATATTGAGAGCGTCACGTGACTGTACTGACCAATGGGAGTGGGCGGAGGGGACGTATCCGGTTCCGGTAGAATGGTTGGACCAAATGATGGCAGATCTGACTTCTCTCTCTCAGCTGACAGATGACGTTTTCTGGAAACAAAATAAGATTTAGTTGTTTAAATTATTATTAGATTAAATAAAACAAGGATAAAATACTCATATCCCTCGCCAATGGTCTGTTCTACCCGGCAATGGTAGATTCAAGCACCTGACTAAACACGCTGTCTGGGACTTGTTCTAAAGAGTCAATGACACGTCATCAAAAACTGATTAATAAGCTGCTAGCTGCCTGGGATATTTAGTCATCTCATTAGACTGGTGTTACTGTGAGAAGGTCACTGGGAGCAGTGGCTTTAATTTGGCAAAAAAATAAAAACATACATAAAAAGTAAACAGCTGACTACTTGATAGATTTGTAAGGAAATACAACTTGCTCATCAAGAACCGAAAATAAAAGATTCCCAAAACTACTAAATACCAAAAGGCACCTGTTCATGAATAGATTGATTCATGTGCAAAATTTGATCAAGAAATCTTGAACGTACTTTGAGTTATGCTCCGATAACAAAATGTGAGTTAGAGGGACGGGCTGACAGCATCTCTTCATATGTCCCTATCCTACTTCGTGGCGGGGTATAATTAAAGTAAACCTTAAGACCAATGAACGTTCACAACTAGAAGAAATATAATACGAAACTAAAACTAAAATGACAAATAATGATACGCAACTATCATGTGGTATACGAATCTTACCTCCACACCAGCAACAGGACAGCGAATGTTATGATGAGGAGGATGAAGACGACGAGGACGCCGATGATGACGGGAACATGGCTGGTCTGCGGCGCTGTCTTAACGGGGCGAACTGAAACAGACACTCCCCAATCAGGACCCCTTTACAAGGCAAACTTCACAACGCACAATATTTGATAATTAGGTTGTCATTTGTTGTCACAAACATGCTTATCAGATGACTTTAACTGTGAGTGAGTGTGTTGGGTTTAAAACCCACTTCGAATAGTATTTCAGTTATGTCACGGCGTGTCAGCTTTATGAGGGAAGAACGCCCGAGATGCAGGTCGTAGAGGTAAACCACTTCAGTAAATTCTACGGTTATAGTGTCGACAAACCTAGAAACATCATCAGAGCGCACCCGGATTCAAACTCCGTTAAACATTTCAGGCAAATTCCGCAGACTAAATTGTGGTTCCTTTCTAATGATTGTGGTATTAGGGAGTCTAAAGGACCCATGGCTAAGTCTATATCGCGGGAAAAAAACAAATCCAATTTCATATACTATTACATTTTTCCTTTTTTTCCCTTGCCATATTTCCTTGTCAACACCACTTAAAAACCTACCACAGCTTCACTACTTAAGATTAGACTTAAAGCATTTTTCATTACACAAAAAGTTTACACTTAATCAATAACTATTTAATATTATTCAAAAAGTTAACAGTAACAAATGTTGTTTGAATCTGTTAGTTGTATGGTGTTTTTTTTATGATCCATCAAAGATTACGCGGCTGGGCAATACAATTAAACAGTATTTATCTGATTGTAGATAATGGCCCGTCGGTGAAATCCACAAACAGATATATAGAGTCACAATGCCCAGTAGTTCACAGGAATTAGGAATAAACAATTTTATGACTCTTCAGCAGAAAAAGTCAGGTGAGCTAAACATCAGAAATGTGTCGTCGAAATACTTTAAATTAATGTATCAACGGCATACTATCGCCTGTTTACCGTAAAGTAACACCTAGTAGGTCACCCGAATTGGGAATAAATAACTGCATGACGCTTTAACATTATTATGATGATAAGGTGGTACGGGTGGCCCAGTCGTCTAAGGAGCCGCGATTCACTGTGCAGAGTTGCGTCCCTTGGGCACGCCAGAAACCTATGATTGTGGGTTCGAATCCCGGTTCGCCCCGATTTGTTTCTAGGTTTGTCAGCACCATACCCGTGCTCGTGGGTTTCACCAAAGTGGTAAACGTCTGAGACCTGCAACACTTCGGGCTTTCCTCCCACATTAAGCTGACACGCCGCGATATGACTGGAATACTGTTAAAAGCGACGTTAAACCCAACTCACTCACTCACTATTATGATGATAAAGTTACACTAAAACAGGTGAGCGAAGTTACACACAACACGCACCACGATACCAACGTTTAGTAGCAAGACTCGCAAGATTTAAATTTCCACCCAAAATAACTTTAATTTACCCTACGGATCGCAAACGAAATCCAAATTAAGTCAATCCGCGAACTGAGTACACGCAACAACCCAAACAACCACCGCTCCCATGTAGGGGAGCTTGCTTCCGTGGAGATAATAATCACGGGTTGTCAAATTTCGTCTTCAATCCCTTCTAGCCGCTGAACACAACGCTCTAACGCCTGTCTTGTGTACGCCTCTTCGCCGTGAGGAATAAGGTACCATACTGTACGTCGGGGCGCTGCTATATGTGTCCTCGATACAATCACAGGCGAGTTGGAGCATGAAAAACGTGATGAGGTCCCGCGGGGACAGTCGGGAAGAGTGATATGAGATCTGGATTACCGCGTAACTGTTTTTAAGTCGGAACCAAGGAATTGGGTCCAAAAATGTCATGAGGTAAAGTGTCCGAGTTGATATTCGTTGATAGTTTGTAGCCAAAATGAGAAAGAACTTTTTGAAAACAGGTTGTTAAATTCCAAATAATCAATGTCTAATTATATTGGATTGGAAAACCTTCGATATTTTTGAGTGTGTGAGTGAGTTGGGTTTTAACGCCACTTTTAACCGTATTCAAGTTATATCAGGGCGTGAAAGCTTAGTGTGTCTTAGACCTTTTCCATTTTGGTAAAACCTACGAGCTCGGTTATGGTGCTGACAAACCTGGAAACACAAACGGGTCGAACCGGGATTTGAACCCGCAACCATAGGTGTCTGACGTGTCCAAGGGCCGCAACTCTGCACGGTGAATATAATTGCATTTAGAGAAAACGAGTGTGGGGACACGCCGCATTTAGTACTATTCCTACAACTTCACGACAGGGGACACCAGAAATGGGCTTAACATGTGTCGAATCGAACCTGGGTCTATGGCGTGACCAGCGAACGATTTAATCACTAGGCTACCACACCGCTCTTAATCTATAAAGAGAAAAGAATGTGTCCTTATACATTGAAAGAACTGTAAAAACATTATTAAAAAAATATATACATATATACTAAAATATATTTGCATCAAAGTGACCTATTTGGTTTGCGGTTTGGAGTATCTTGTATTCGAGGTAGCGTCAAATACGCAGGAGTAGTATCTGGACAATACCCGAAACGAAAAAACACAAATGCCATATCCCGAACAAACCTGGATCAGCGGGAAAGCCTTGTGGTTAAAGGGCTCGCTCGTCACGCCGAAGGTCCGGGTTCGATTCTCCAATTGGGTCCAATGTGGGGAGTCTATTCTGGTATGTCCCGCCGTGATATTGCTACTGCGTATCATATTATCCCGATCGTTAGATTATTGCTCACACAGGAGCAATTATTATCAATCACAGGATTGTCTGGTCAAGACAAGATTATTTACCGCCCGCGGAGTGCGAAGAGCATGACTATATGGTACCGAAGAACAAACATAAACGGTTGGTACTTCCCAGCTTACCTAATACTGGTCTCTCAATCCTGGAAAATGTTTGTCTTTCGGTCTGAAAAAAAGCAATGGCAAAAGTGTCAAAAACAAAAGACATCAAAAGCGAATACAATTTCCACACTACTTTATTGCGTCAAAAAGCCATTATTGTTTTTTCAGTTTGTTTTGATGCACACTTAAAGTAACCTTTATCACCTTTAACAAAAAAATATACAGCTTAAAAAAGACATCAGAGTATTAAAAAGTTCCATCTTATCCAAAAAATCTTATTTTATAAATATCCTTAAAACAGAATTTCTAACGGTGTTCGTTGAAACTGAATTGAATATCAATTTCCGATGATATCCCATGTCTTAATGCTGCTGATTTGCCTAATTTTAGTTAAGTATATAATCAAAAATATTCGTAACGTATAATAGTGACAAGGTTACTCACGCCATCAACAACAGAGAAGGCCCCGAACCATATATTATAGGTCTGGTCCCGCTGTAAGGGAGCGTTGTAGAAGCCGCCGTACGTGCTGTTGTCGCCGACGACGAACTTCCCATTGACGGCACCTCTTTCGAGCTGGGCGGCGACATACATCCGGGTTCCGTGTCGACTTGCCCGTTGGTAGTCGTCTTTGATGTTGAGATGTTGGGGGGTTGAACGTTCATGACGTAACTTCTCGTACAATAGCTCCACTATGAGGCGATAGAAGCTGTGGGGGACAGGGAAGGGTTGGATGAAAAGAGTTTGTTGACAGATATTTGACAGAAAATGGTGTTATATTAATTTCTCCATGATTGTGTATTACGCAATTAATCGGCCATACTGTCCTCTGTGGACCATCAATTATACCATGGGCCTATAGGCTCAGTAAGTGCTGAACAAAGAATACAACTGCTCCCAGTAATGAATTTCTCTTTACCTTAAGATGGAAAAGTTGAACTACATATCAGCAAGATATGTTTTCAACTTTTATTTTAATATTATGAAGTCGCATTTTCAAATCAGTGCTGCTGTTATAACCATTATACACTATTGTAATTACCATCATACACTATCCTAATTACCATCAAATACACTATTGCAATTATCATCATACACTATTGTAATTACCATCAGACATTATTGTGATTACCATCATACACTATTGTAATTACCATCAAACTCTACTGTTATTACCATCAGACATTATTGTAATTACCATCATACACTATTGTAATAACCATCAAACATTATTGTAATTACCATCATACACTATTGTAATTACCATCAAACTCTACTGTTATTACCATCAAACATTATTGTAATTACCATCATACACTATTGTAATTACCATCAAACATTATTGTAATTACCATCATACACTATTGTAATTACCATCAGACATTATTGTAATTACCATCATACACTATTGTAATTACCATCAAACTCTACTGTTATTACCATCAGACATTATTGTAATTACCATCATACACTATTGTAATAACCATCAAACATTATTGTAATTACCATCATACACTATTGTAATTACCATCAAACTCTACAGTTATTACCATCAAACATTATTGTAATTACCATCATACACTATTGTAATTACCATCGAACTCTTCTGTTATTACCATCAAACACTTTTGTAATTACCATCATACACTATTGTAATAACCATCAAACATTATTGTAATTACCATCATACACTATTGTAATTACCATCAAACTCTACTGTTATTACCATCAAACATTATTGTTATGTACCATCATACACTATTGTAATTACCATCAAACATTATTGTAATTACCATCATACACTATTGTAATTACCATTAAACTCTACTGTTATTACCATCAAACACTTTTGTAATTACCATCATACACTATTGTAAATACCATCATACACTATTGTAATTACCATCAAACACTATTACAATCAAATTTCAACAGAACAGAAGAACAGAAGATTGCCACGGACAATGGTAAGTTCGATACTTGTGGTGAATGTCTGAGAGAATCACCTGACAGTTAGGTCCCCTGCATCACGGAGGTCAAGGGTCACAGTGTGGTCGGAGACTTCAACGATGATTGGCTCCAACGGTTTCTTGGGATCTGCAATGCATTATGGGCACAGTAATAAACTGTCATACAAATCCGGGTGTTTTGGAAAAGCTCGATCACTCATTTAACGCCCAACACATTTAACATACTGTAAAAACACTTACGCTTGTGGCATTAAAATCTATCTCACAATGATCATACATTCAAAAATATCTCTAATTGGCAATCCATGGACTAAATTCACCCCAGCGTCCCTTTTCTATCACGAAAGAAAGGAGTTGTGTTTTAATGATAGCTTACCTGGAGCATCTGTCCACACAACAACTCTAGCCTGAGCTCCAGACCCTTTGACTGTGCTAGCGTTAACTGTGCATGAGTACTGCGTGGCAGGACGTAACCCCTCCATCTTGTATTCATACGTGTCCACGGGCAGTCTGATTTCCGCTTTGTCGTCGTCGTAACTCCTCTTCGAGAGGGTTGTAATGGGCGTGCAGGACACCTGAGGGTATAGATATTATGACATGGCGTTATAAAGATTTTTAAAGGATGTTCCGTGTATTTTCTCAGTCAACCTTAAATCACGTAACACACGTCTTATACACATGAATTGTGGATTTCGATACTTGTTTTCGATTTGGTTTTCTGTTTGTTGTTTAACTCCTCACTCAGAAATGTTCCATTCATATATGGGGCTCTGTAAAAAATCGAATCTGGATCAGCCATTCCAGTGAATGATATCATGAACATCGATCCACGCAACTAGGATACGATGACATCAACCTAGTCACCGAGCCAGATCACCCGATCCATTTAGTCGCCTCTTAGGACAATAATAAGTTGCTGGGGACCTATATTCTTACCCGGAATCCCCACATGCTAAGGCATAGATGTTATTTTCGTTTTATAGGCATAGTTAATAGTTATATGTTGATGTATTGCATCGCAATTGTATGATCAATATTAATATCATTATCATACACGTAAAACCTTTAAACACACATTTTCAAATATCAATTAACACAAAGTCAATTGATCATTCTAAGCACACATTACAACATTAAGGTTTAAGCAAACATATAATGCCACACTAACATTTTTTATAAAAGATCAAACTTAACTTTTGACCGAGGTCTTACACAGACATGAAAGCTTAAGTAGATGGCGAGGAAACTCGCCTGCAGCGTTGTAAACGTTAATCGAAAAACAGCATAATGACGTAGCTTCCAACATCTCCATGAAACCAGTAAATAAACCAATTTCCTACTCTGGGACATACACCAACAGGACATCAAAGCCTGGGTCCTAAAAGCATTGACGTTTTAACACACTTACCGTGAAGTAGCGCAGCTCGCCATTAAAGTCAAGAGGCCGGTCCCACCTGAGGTGTATTGACGTCGTCGTACGTGACACGTTCCTCAAGACGCGCACAGGACCTGGAACTGAAGACGAGGAGACTGAGTGAAGTGGCGTTCTGCTTCACGAGAAACTTTTAAAGACTACTAACGCCGCTTTTTCAAATAGTCTGTAGCTTGTGAACTTGACCGAACGAAGGCTTTGATATCGCATCTACTTTAAATCGTGATTTAGGATGTCCGTTACACGATTCCATCTGAAAAGGGCGTCTGATGTCAACAGTTCAACTCCATCAGTTCTGATTGCTCCCTCCATCCAGACGATTGGTTTGGGGACTGTCTATACATAGATATGATGAGATAATTTGAAAAGTTGTTAAAAAGTTCTCCATTTCACATTGAAGGGTATCGTCAGGTTTAAAGGTGTTTCACTGCGGTTTGCGTGAGTGAGTGAGTGTGGTTTTACGCCACTTTTACCAATATTCGAGAAATATCACGGCCGGGGACACTAGAAATCGGATTCACACATTGTACCAATATGGGGAACCGAACCCTGGTCTTCGGCTAGACGAACGAACGCTTTAACCACTAGGCCACCCGACCGCACTACTGGAAACAGTCTGACATCACTGCCAAAATGCAAGTTGATACTTTCTCCGATTAACCTAAACAAATTGAACGTTCGGAGAATTGTCTAAAGTCTTAAATGAATTCCCTAATACTGTTTGGCAGTTAAGCAATAATTCCGAAGTTGATTTACGAGCAGTTACCAACATGGATTGACGAATGTCTGACCTCTCGTTGGACCTAGGAGCAACCTTCTATCACCGAGCTTCATCTCACTTTGAACATCGTAATCATAAAAATACCTTCACATTCACGAGATACGCCACATCCTTTTCAAGAGCATCTGATGTCATATTCAAAGTCATTCCTGAGTGAAGTCTTTTTTGTGTCTTATCCATTTGGTTTGGCCTCTATTTCCTTTCTTGTGACAGATCCGACAATGTTCACACATACGACATTGCGTTATTAATTTAAAACACAAAAAACATACCCGGTCTGTTTAGGCAAAGAAACATTCTGATATCTTCCGAATGAACTTTTATAAGTTTAATATAGCTACGGTTATTCGGTATTCGTGCTATAACTGAGTGAGTGAATGAGTATTCCAGTTATATCACGGCATGTCAGCTTAATGTGGGAGGAAAGACCGAAGTGATGCAGGTATCAGACGTTTACCACTCCGGTGAAACCCACGAGCACGGGTATGGTGCTGACAAACCTAGAAACATAATCGGGGCGAACCGGGATTGGAACCCACAATCATAGGTTTCTGGCGTGCCCAAAGGGACGCAACACTGCACAGCGAATCGCGGCGCCTTAGACGACTGGGCCACCCGTGCCCCCGACACTACAAAGAATCTGACAGAGTCATATCTAGGAAATCTATCAAAGTTTTTATGCGAAAGTGCAATCATATGGGCCTGTCGCTTCCATAACAAAGCCTAGCAACATGATTTAGACCAGAGTAGTGCCAATACCACAGGCGCCAGTCATGTTTTCACCAACACCTGCTAGAGACATATCGGTTTTCCATTACAGATCTCGCGAGGAAGGTGAGGAGTATTTGTGGTGCCAATTTTCTTAACACCTATCGGCCTTTTTTTTTGCCAAACTCACTTCGGATCGCAGACTTTGAGGTGGAAATTCTTCAGGGAGGCGCTTGGAAATAAACCCGTAGGACTATGTCTGTTACCATTATTCTATCAAAGCTTGTATAGTGAAAACTATGCGTCATTAACTGGTAGACTGGCCCTAAGTATTACCCAAAACTGACAGCTAATGACTTTGGTAGTTTTTGCATGTCAGCAGAGCCAAAACATTACGGGAGGAAATTCGTACATGGTGTATATCAAGTCACAGATTACTGACAGCACCGTTGGCAGTTTTGCTGTTGGTTTAATCAACACGGTGATGTATCTGACGGTTGCTTATAAGAATACTGGCCCAGAACCGTTACATGAAACTCAATGTTGGAATAAATATCAGACTAATCTGATTTGAGAGTGAACGTTCGCGCCCGATTACAAATGAAAATGTAAATCTCAAAGTGATTCTGAAAGCACTATTAAGTCGACAGAGGTGGTGATTCGACGTGGATGCAAGGAGACAAGTATTGAATTTGATAGAAAAACTATCACCCTATCGAACTGGTAGAAGTTTCAGCTCAGTTGAATTTTCTTGTCCAATGAAAGATCAAGAGACTTGATCACGTGGAGCATGTTCATTGCCCAAAATGTGTACGACAGCCTGCAAATGGCATGGCTGCGTGCTTGAACGTGATTTCTGTGCAAATCGTAAAAAAGTGAGTATGGTTTTACGCCGCTTTTAGCAATATTCCACCAATATCACGGCGGGGGACACCAGAAATGGGCTTCACATATTGTACCCATGTCGGGAATCGAACCCGGGTCCTCGGCGTGACGAGCGAACGCTTTAACCACTAGGCTACCCGACCGCCCCCGTAAAAGAGAACTGGAAATTAGTGTACATCATTGGCAGAGTAATCTACAGCAAAAAGAATATTTTAGCACGTGCGCTTTTATATGTGAACAATGTTTTTGGTATGTTTATTTTCGCCATAAGATTATTCATACTATATCGCAGTGTCTTGCAAACAATGATATTTGGGACAAGCAAACCAGTGGTTGATAGAATAAGCAACGCCCCACGTCAGGTTACGCTGACACAAAGTGAATCAGGTTACGAAGCCTGGGTACCTGATTATGAGTCTTTACGAGCATGTAGTGAGTGAATACGGTTTTACGCCGCTTTTAGAAAGAGTCAAGCAATATGGCTGTAGACACCCGAAATGGATTTCACACATTGTATCTATGTGGGAATCAAACCTGGGCCTTCGGCATGACGAGCGAGCGCTTTAACCACTAGGCTATCCAACCACCCGCATGTAGTACTGGGAACTTTGACTAACATTCGAGGCAGTCAATCACTTATCCGCTCTTACAAGCATGCTATATTTGGTATTCGGAATCCACAAGGTCCTGTCGATCCGTGAAGATCCGGGGTAGAATAGGTCTTCAGCAAACCATGCTTGCCATAAAAGGCGACTATGCTTGTCGTAAAAGGCAACTAAAGGGATCGGGTGGTCAGGCTCGCTGACTTGGTTGTTGCATGTCATCGATCCCAATTGCGGGGATCGATGCTCATGATGTCAATCCCTGGACTGTCCCGTCCAGACTCAATTATTTACAGACCGCCGGACTATTGCTGAGTGCGGCGTTAAACAACAAACAAACAAACTCTTGATAAATTATTTACCCAGGGTATCCTAAGAAAAACACTTATACTGGACTCCAAGGGGTGTTATAAATAACATTTGTCCATCTTTGAAATAAACAAGTTGACCTTTTCTACACTTTGCTCGTTTGCTGGCGTCAGCGTTTCGTCTTTTCAGTCGGTGTAATCAATTTAGTCTCATCAATGTTAAGGACTCCGAGATGAAACATCGATTCCCTTGTACTTGAACGGATATCACATAGATCTGTGTCGTTTCTATATTTACAATCATAGAAAGGTTAATATGCTTCTCATGTTTGCAATGGCATTGTCTAAGTCACATACATAGTTGTTTCTTCAGGTGTATTACTTGAATCTGAAGTAGGATCTGTCGATCGTGGGTTTCGAATCCTGATAGTCCCCGAAGATGAATTTATTATTGCACCAAACATATATCGTTAAAAACCATGTTACTGTATCGCGACAGCAGCGCTCCTATCGACGCCATTGTATGCTAACAACTCTAAGCTTGACTACGTCTGGTAGATCTTCAGCAACCCATTCTTGCCGTAAAAGGAGACTATGCTTGTCTAACGGGATCTAACTAACGGGATCGGGTGGTCAGGCTCACAGACTTGGACGATGCATGCAATCGTATCCCAATTGCGTACACCGATGCTCGTGATTTCAATCACTGGATTGTCTGACCCAAACTTGAATATTTAAAGACCGCCGCCATATAGCTGATTGCGGTGTTAAACAACAAACAAACAAACAAACAAACGACGCTAGGATGATAACAATACTGAGCTTGCCAACAAATAACAGATCCCCGATCATCCTCAAAGCTTTGGCTGTGAATTGGTTCCGGGTATGTATGAAATAAAATGAAGTTCGGGTGTTCTTTTAACTTCTTATGAGTAGTATATAACGATATGCTGTTTGGGCTGTAGACATAAATTTCATATAAACTTAAACGAAATGTAAATAAGCAAAATTGATTTAACATTAGTCATTTATTTACTCTTATAATTTCGACTAATTGCTGACTGCTGCCATTTAAATATTGAGCAGGTACCATTGATCGAAAGTCCAAAATTCTGGCAATTCAAAACTCCAAACAGTTTTTTCTTAAAAACTGACTTGGATGCGCAATGATCAAAATCAGCTGAAAGCCAGTGAAAAAAATATACGTTTAATCCTTTTACGGAAAAAGACATATTGGCTGCTGCTAAATTTAAAACACGGAATTTCAATTTGAAATTAACCTGTCATATTTATCGAACTTGAATTAGGAGCATTAGATATTGGACATTCCGCGCATGCATTTATTGCCTGATGAGGATGGAGACTCCCGGTGATGGAGCAGGGGCAAGGACGCCGCCTTGGGAGAATCAACTTCAGGGAAAGCTATCTGCATCTGCCTTGTTTTAGAAGAAGATAATGAGGAGAAAATTCAATTTCAAATTGCACTGGATTGTTCAAATTGGTCGAAGGATGAAGGGGGGATTCAGTCAACATCAGACCGTCGTTTTTCTGGGGAAATGATTGAAAATTCGCGAAAATGGCGGAATAGGTCGCTGAAAGCCCTACTATTGAGACCAGTTAGATTGGTGTCATTCAAAATACATTTGACAATGATTAAAATGAAGAATTCAAAATCATGTTTGTTGAGAGTGGAACTGTTTACAAAACGTCATGCGATGGTCCTCAAATTACAATTTCTCACAGTCTAGAGGTGAACAACTTCAATTTCCTGAATCACTATCAGCGTCATCAAAAGGGAA